TATATACTTACGCTGTCTGGATATGGATAATGTGCTCGGCTTGGATCCTGATCAATGCCACCACCGATTTTAAAGCCTACACGTAATACCTGCAAAGATTTGCGAAATTCGTACTGTAATCCTTCCAGTGCCAATGCGAAAAAAAAAAAAAGAAAAAAACTAGGAACCCAATGATTCATATCCAGCCATCAAAAGAACACTTCGACGTATGATTATCAGACAAAGTTTTTTTCCATGCATTCATTCATAGAGCCAAAATCAGTTCTTTTTGCCGTTTTTGCAACTTCTTCATTTCGAGCTTACTACTCCGCATAGGCGTCTACATTGACTCTTATCTCACAGGTGGTTTCTTACCTTAGTGAATTTCAACTGTATAACTGCGCCTGGAAATGTTGGATCTCGGGCGCCTAGTGAATCTGAACCCCAATGGAGAGTCAACCCTGAACGAGTACCAATCAACAATCCATTTTGTCTCTGAATTATCCCTGCTTTTCGGAGTCTCAAAAAGTACAGAGGGAGATCACTGTTTGGACTCAAAGTATTCTGTAATGAGAACACGATGCTAACATAATTACGTAGAATTTCCTACAAATGTTATCGATGCTTGCAGATCCATGATACCCTCTTTTAAGAGTCACCACTGCGGGAAGTGCTTCAGCCGAAAAGACTGCCGAGCTGGTAATCGCTTCAGGAGACGAAACTAACGTTAGGATCACCAGCACACTGACCATCAGGCGATGTAGCATTGGTCAAGGCAACTGGAAATCTCAAATTTACAACTGGAGCTATCAAATTACATCTGTTTCGATTAAATGTATTTCTATCCCCAGAGGCAGCTTTACAAAATAGCTATAATTTTATTACTAACCTGCTGTCCATTTCCATCGACAAATTGTTCCTTGCGCAATTCAACTGCAATACTCAAACATTCGATTGGTAAACCAGCGGCGTGACCGTATGCGCTCATCTGTTCACTGATCTGTGAAAGAGCAAAATCGTAACAAATCAGTAATGTATCTAGAAAGAACAAAAAAAAAACCCCC